ACGACCAACAGGCAGACGCATCGGCGCGCGACGACGCGACACCACCCTGCTGCGCAGGGAGGGGCAGAAGTCGCTCCCCAATATTGGCAAAGTTGGTCGGCGGGGCCTTCTTTACGGCGAGCGCGTCGCCCTCCGCGTGCACACCTGAGAGCGCACCTGGCCGCACGGCGCACACCTGCGCGGCTGCAGGCTGCATACGGGCAGAGGTGCTCCTCATCGTCACGGCGTCACCGAGTTTATGGCAGCGAGATTGTTTTGGGGCGGCTGGAATAGTGGCGCTGTGCTGATTGGGGAGATAAAAGGAAACGAGCTAGGGAGGGGGGCAGGAGGGAGAGGGAGTAGAGAAGGAGAGGGGCAGGAGGGAGAGGAAGAAAGAGAGAGAGTAGAGAAGGGTGGGGCTTGGGCTTATCGGTACGCTCACTTCATTTACCCCGCATTACTCTGAACGAGTCAAGGAGTCGCACTCGTAGCATTGCCAGGACCTGGGTTTGACCGCGGTGGGGGCCGCGGGTTCCATATACCTAGGGTACCTCGGGAACAACCATACCCGTTCTAACAGTCCTGACTTGATAAACCTCTGATCTCTCCCTGCCCCTCCGTTCTCCCTTTATTTTTGTCCGTGGCGTATATAAAAGGTCCCTAGCAAAAATAGGGTTTTTATCCAAACCTGTCCCCCGTCCTTCGCATAGTTCTGCGAGTGTAACGGCGCGGCGCGCCGCTGCCGCTCTACTGGTTTCTGCGGGAGTCAGGCCACCGACATCGTGCGCCTGTGAAAGCGTAAGGCGTTTGTGGCCCGCGGGGAATCCCTCTTGTAAATTCTCTAAAGGAGATTAACTAACAGCCCAGCCAAAAGCGATATTGCCCACAAATTGCTTGTAGTCGGCAAAGAGCGCGGGCCTCAGCATCCCTGAACCATTGCGTCTCAACACCCCGAGCTTTACAAATGCCGAACGCACTACTGAGCTCTCTACTTCTGAGGGTATGTATAGGCAACGTTGCACGTTTAAAGGCACACAGCTATTTATTCTACAAGAAAGTGTTTCTCCGATTAAAACGATTCAAAACCAACTAGAAACCCCTGCACAGTTCGAGTGAACCTCAGATACTTAAGTGTTATTTTAAGAACCCTGCTGGGAAGAGCCATACCTAATGCCTCCCCTGGTGGAGTCTTGGTTCAGTAAGACGCCTTGGTGTATCCAGGAGACCACGGAGCCCGTCATGTAGACGTGACGCACGATACAAGACAGCCGGATTGTGGAAGACGTCTCGTAGTGCTTGTCCTGGATCGGCTGACCTTTCTCGTCCACGATCAGCAC